CCTGTCGTCCTGGTGGAAAGCACAAAGACAGAAAGCCCACCACCCGCGGCCCGCCAATCGGCCCCCCCACCACCGCCCACCCCAACACCCCCAGCCTCCAGGAAAGACTCGGTGGTCTCCACCAGAAGTTCCACAGTGTCTACGCTGGACAGTGAGGTGGGTGGTCACGCACGCTCACATATACACACACACACACATACACACACTTGCATACCCACACACGCTCACATATACACACACACACACACATACACACACACATACACACATGCATACACCATACACACACACATACACACATTTGCATACCCACACATGCTCACATATACACACACAAATACACACATGCATACACCATACCCACACGCACTTACATATATACACACACACCTACACACACACACACTCACACGTGCACGCCCGGGCGCGCGCACACACATACTCGTACACACACATATATACACACACACATATGCACACACTCACACGTGCACGCCCGGGCGTGCGCACACACATACTCGTACACACACATATATACACACACTCACATGTGCACGCCCAGGCGCGCGCACACACATACTCGTACACACACATATATACACACACACATATATATGCACACACACACATATGCACACTCACACACATGATATTCTCACCCTTGTTTTTTCTGGGTCAAAATATCAATTGATTATTTTCACCTTTTTACTTGGTCCAAAGGTTAGCTATTCTCAATTTAAAAAGTGAATATTTTTTTCAGCTTTTGTGTTTTTCTGTGTCAAGAGATGAATATAATTCTCAGGTTTGTTTTTTTCTGGGTCAAAAGGTCAACCGTGTTTCTCACAAGTGCAAGTGCCAGGAGTACGTGAACAAGCTCAGTGAAGGAGTCTACGACGTTTTTGGAAAACGAGTTTTTATCAGGGTGAGAATCTGTCGACTTTTCTTGTTCGTTTTTAAGTCGTTTTCTCATCCGCATGATTTGTTCCACAGATGTGTGAGGCGGCCTTTTACCTGTACCTTGAGCTGTCGGTCTACGTTCATAAACTTTTACCAATCAAGCTATGTATTGGTCTACGTTCATAAACTTTTACCAATCAAGCTATGTATTGGTCTACGTTCATAAACTTTTACCAATCAAGCTATGTATTGGTCTAC